GAGACGTTAGAGGCTACTTCTATGGAATATGGTTATGGGGCACGACTTAATGGCACACGAGCAAAGGATTAGGTGTGACGTGCCAGGAAGCTACCTGGAGCTGCTAGTCGAACCGTGGGACCAAAACAGTAGCTATGTCGGGTGGGGGGTCCGCAATGTCTTCAACATTTTCATAGTCTGACTTGCTCCTAACGCTATCGCTCAAAGCAGCACATGGAGGGTGCCATTATGTGCCATTGGATGTGGGTGGCCTTTGGCCCCTCAGGGATCAAAACAAAATGAGTGCTCATGGGTGCTAGCCACTCCAAGATTAATGGTTCTCGGATGTAGCAGAGTGTCCAGGATTATTCACGGATCGCAACAAAACCTGGATTCAGCGAGCTTTGAGTGGATGCTTGCAGCGCGAATCACACTTCAAGACCCTCTAAAGTGTCCGACCACAACGTATGAGGTCGAGTGTTGCCGACTCTTTTCCTTGCGCTTCCACTGCAAGTTGCGCTCTTAAATTTCACCTGTGTCTGCATGTACACGAGCGTACGCTGTGCAGGGCACCCCTGGAGATCTAGGTGACGCAAGAATATCCGCAACAAAAGGGCTTGGCTGAGACGACCGGCTGCTCGCTGACGGGTTGTCCCGGCACACGTCAACTGGCAAAATAGCCCGGCAGCCTAGCATTCGTTTGAGTCCGCGAGGACTGGCAGGCTTGAAATGGAAGTTTCAAGAAATGGGAGACCCTGAAGTGGACTCCTAAATGGTGGGATACCTTACAGCCACCACGCTCTGCGCCCTGCGGCGCAGTGTTGCGTGGGGATACTTGCGGCCGATGCCAGTAGGGATGCGAGGGCTGCATCTGAGAAATTGGGACGCTCAGGCTGAAGCCAAACACTGCCGTTGAAGGTGCTTCCAGCCGGACGTCCCAAGGCTTCCGCCTGGAGCATCCCTGACCAACGTGCTGCATCTTCAGGAAGCAGTGACCCCGGCATGCTACAGCGGACATGGGACGGTTCCCTCAACCAAACCTTCTTCTGAACACCACTTCTCTTCCCTACTTGATTGCACTTCGGACTGCAGAGGCCAGCATAGTCACCACGCGATGCCCCTCCAAAAACTGCTGTATTCCATGGTCTAGGCAGCTGGAATTCGCCTCTTCATGGGGCCATGCGTACAAGGGCCCGACAACGGACCCCTAAATCAGGACCCCTGGCTTACGGAAATCCCAAGTATTGGCATCGGTGTATTACTGCGTCAGATGCGGGCTACCTGTTGGAGATCTGGCGTGGTTTGAGGAAGTCCTCGCGCGGCTTTGTTCGATGAAGGTAGCTGTCAGCTCAATGCCAGCCCTGACCCACGCCCTGCAAACAACTCGGACCGGCAAAATCATTCCACGTAGTCTACCTTATCTCAAGGCCGGCCCAAGGCGGTCGGGTGAAGTGGTGTGAGGATGTGTGAGGAAGCCTGCACGTGGGCTTGTTCGATGAACTTCTTGTCAGCTCAAACCCAAAGAACGACTCGGATTGGTAAAAAATATCCTGAAACATGACTCTGCAGGGTCACTCCAGCCCTTGGGTACATTACTTAAGAACGCCCCCGTAGGATTTCTGAAACGTGATTCTGCGGAGTCACCCCACCACATTACATAAGGATGTCCTCATGCGATCTTGGCAAGCCGCTGCCGAACATGGACGGTGGCTTGTGGCTTGAAGCCGGAGAATGAAGTGGCCAAGCTTTTGCTGGAGTAGCTGCCTCGTTTGCGGCCATGCCAGGATCGGCAACTGCTGAGCTTGCTCGGGCCTTTTCATCCAGCGCCGACATCCTCTTGGACCGCAATCCATCACGGCTCCTTCCCCAAGCACTGCTACCGGAAAACCATCAGTGTTTGCCTTCTAGCCTGTCCAGCCCAACGCTGCATTGAGAGACTACTACGCACATGCAAGTCAATACCAAGCCAAACATGTTGAAATGCGTTGTAGCGGTGCTGTGCGTGGCACTTGGGCGGCACCTAATAGGGCTTTTGGGGGGCTTGCTGGTGCGACTCGGCGGCCTTATGAAAGTACCCTTGACAAGCATGCAGTGAATTGCAGTTGAAGCACACAAAGCCCTCAAACCACTCGAAACCGCTGCCCTGTTTTTGGCTACTGGACTCAAGTCTAACCCGGAACTGCAGAACCATATGTGCTCCTCGAAGCCACACCCTAGCAAGACTGCCCAGACTGCCCGAAGAAGCCCGAAACCCTGCTAGCGCCTTTTTCCCATGTCAAGCGATCCTCGTCGACCATGCCAAAGACCTCAGCGCATGTGTCTCGCAAATAAAGAATCCTCAACAAGACCCCAAAACAACGCATCCTTGATATCCTAAACATGAGGATCCCTTACGAAGCCAGAAGATGTTGCAGAGTCCAGCTCGCCAGGCTTTCACGCCGCACCCTTTAACCCTTGGCAGCTTCCACCATTCCGCAAACAGGAGCCTGGAGCTGCTGTCTTAGCAGTCCTGCTGCCCCCTTCGCTGCTGTACACACACTCCTATGGCCGCAATGAACCGGCCGAAGATCTATGGACATGCCACCGTTTGCGGAGGAGCTGAAATCAAACTGGGTTCACTTCAGACTCACTCATGTGGTCCAAGCGCACACATAGCTGATTGCCACAGACCTGGACTCGACGTTTAAGTGGACCCGGGAAAAGGAGCACACGCAGTCGCAGCCGACCCCTTGAAGGCCTAAAGCGTCCCCTGTACTCAATCCCACGACACACCCCTGTCGCCACCCGGGGACCATTCTGAGAGGCAGATCCGGAAGCTGGCACATCTCTTCGAAGCAGCTGTCCGTCACGAAGAGGAAGGCGACCATGCGGTTGGCGTAGGTCATGGACTGAGCAGAGAAAAAGGAAACCTTTCCAAAGAGCCGTTCTTCACACACCTTCCAACCCCAACCTTAACATCCGAGAAACCCATAAAGGAAAAAGGCCTCGAAACAGGGGGTCCCTGAAAAACCCCTTGGCCTCGGAAGGATGGCCCGGGAGCCTCAGCGGGCAGACCGCCTCTTGGCCCACCACCGAACCGCACCTCCGCTAAGAGCGGAGTCGGAGTCGGAGGAGCTTCGGAGAACGGGAGTTGTAGGCGGCCTTTAGAGGGGAGCATCCTGAAGTTTGAAGGGAGCAGGGAGGACTTTCGGCATTTCTGCTCGGAACAAAAATTGTAAGGGGGTGCTACATCGTCGCATCGGTGTCCTTTGTTCTGAATTCTGAGTCTTCTTCCTCATCTGGCGTTCTGATTAGCATCGTGGGCACGATTGCCACCCTTCTCATGATGACCGCAGCACTGCCTGTCAGAGTGCACCAAAGCGACGGGACAGTGCTCGAGACATGGCAGAACAATACAAGGACAACCCGAAACCCTCAAACATGGTCGCACACATTTTCTCGCGAGTGGGTAGCAGAACACTCCGTAGCACAGCACGGCAGACATGCCAGTGCTCGAGGAGGTTTGGCATAGCATGTGCCACAACCCAGCATAGGCGCACAAGACTTACCCCGACTTATCGTGCCGAAGGGTGGCAGCGGGTGGGGCGCGATAAGAGACGACACTGCAGTGGCCAGCAATGCTGGCAGCCAACACACATGCAGACAATCAAAGAGCCTGCAGAAGCAGCAACTTGCGAGGACACGAGTGAACACGCAAGCCAAGAGTACACACGACATGCGAGTGCAACCTTTGCACACGCAAGAAGCCTTAACACGCATTCCCTCGCTCTTGTCCCCCTACGATGGACAAGTCCACTCCACGGGGCTGGTTCGTCCCTTACAGCTGGAGAAGGGATGTGCGAATTGGTTTGTGGAGAGCAAACGAGATAGATAGGGAACACCGGAAGCGCATCAGGAAATATGTGCCATTCCGTTGCGGGCCACGTGCGCCTCCTGGCAAAGGCCCCCGAACCATTTCGGGCCGAGGCACCAAAGCGAGCAGCCGGACCGTGTAAGGAGCGGGTCTCGGTCAATCGACCGGGCGAGGCAGCGGAGGCACTCCTGCGCGGTAAGAAAACATCTGAAATATCTAGAATGATGCGCGTTGAAGAACAAGCCACGCAGGAGTTCAGTGGTAGATTCTTTTCACAAGGGAAACAAGAAAGCTGCCCGTGTCGCCCAGCTCGAATAGATAAACTGACACATGTAGCAGATGCTCGTGGCCTCCAGGCTCGACTCGTCGTAGACCTGTTCAGCCAGTCGGGCTGAACTTGCAAAAACGATACACAGGACGTCTTGCTCACGGCTCAGGGCTTGGAAGAAGACATGCACCTGGGGGGAAGTTTCGAAACCGGAGGAGCTTAAGGTCAAAAAATATAACCAACTCCGTTTTCTTCGCTTGAACGAAGATCCTAACAATTTTGGATTCATTGGTCTTCGAGTTTGGGTGCGTTTACGCCCTCCCCAACCATGAGCCCCGGAACGGACGAAGTCTTGGGTATGCGGTGCTTCTTATGGATCCTCATGACAAGGCTCCTACTATGTCCCACTGGAGAACTTATCAAAACCCCATATCCTGCATCCGATGATCGCCTCCTTGGCGCGAGGGTGGAGATAGGCAGTCCAGCGCTCCACTGTTGCCTCCACCTCCTCCTCGCTCCGGCCCTCGGGCCGACCCTCCTGCGGCGAAAAACACCAGGACCAGGAAGCTCAAGGGGTCCGAGTCAGAGTAATCACGGACCCAGTTTGGGATTCTATGGTAGAGGACCCTCAATTGTTTCGCTTGGAGCTTCGACACGACGTGGCACTTCTCTGCATCGGCCTGTCCTCCACTTCCTCCACTCGTGTCAAGCTGTCCACGGAAAGGAACGGGTAGGAGAAGGCAGAGCCGTCGGACCGCATGTGGCTCACGCAGCTCGTCCGACTCGTCCTCGCCACCCTCATTCGGAGGCCTTCAGCCGAGGCCTGCTTGAAGCTCGGGTGCTACTGCCACTGCTCCTTGCAAAGTAAGAGATCCCGAAATCCCACATTCTCCCTGCGTTGTCTCACCCAACAGTGCCTCACCGGCAAACGGCTCTGGCCGCATCTTTGGCGGCTCCGAAGGCACCGGCGCTTTTTGAAGCGCCTTAGTGGCCATGAGGCGCGGGAAGCCGGCGCAGCAGAAACAGGGAAGAAGCCAAGCACTCACCTCCCAGACAGGGCCAGGCAACACCCACGATACAGGTAGCTGTCGGATTCGGGCTTCCTTCTCTGTTTTGTTTGCTTGGCGCATCACAGCATGCAGCTGCCCTGCCCTCTTTCAACAAAACGAGAAGCTCAAGGACACCAAAGCCGTGGAAAGAATCGGGGTCTCGAAATCGGACTCACCCCTGCCCTGCCTGATGGAATATGAATGACAGTGTCAAGTTGCGTGTGGCGAGCTTTGCGGAGACTCGAACCCGGTCATTGTTACAAACTGCGGATAGAGTTGAGAAAGCTCCTCTATGGGCGTATACTCGCGCACATACATACATACATACATACATACATACATACATACATACATACATACACACATACATACACACATACATACATACATACATACATACATACATACATACATACACACATACATAAGACGTACATGCAC